AGGAGACAGGGAAAGAGGAAGAACACGACAGATAGATAGACCGAGTTTTACGTTCTCGTCCGGTGAATCAAACGGTCCATCGATCAACTAAACAAAGATCGAATGTCAGATACAACCTTAGAGATCAGTCGAGAAATTAGAAGGAGGCTACGTACAAAAAGAAAAGAAGCCATTTTGATAAGAGCCATCCCCCGAATCTATCATGGTGTGTTACCACTGGCTCTTGTGATGTAAACCTGAAAGGGAACAACAACAAAAACATTAACCACTCTTCTGAATCGGAACTACAACTACGTGATTTTTGGTCTCTATATGTAGATATTGAAATTATCTTTCTAATGGTATATAGAACTCATGAATTTGGTTGTATATGCTGAAACTTATGAAACTCAGGAAAATTTCGGTTTGAAATTGAATAATAAACTTATGGGTGAAAAAGGCAGATATAAAGCCGGTGGGTATTGAACGAACCTTGAAAGCAGAAGGGCGGACCAGTTGGAAAACCAAGGCATCCCCATCGGCTAGATCGTGAGCAACGGCGAAACCCAGCCATCCGCCGCTGAGTCCCGTCTTTCGGGCTAAGTATATGGTCTCATACACTTCGCCTTCTTCATCTATCAGAGTCATGGCACTGTCCTGTTTCGGTAGGTGTGATCTGCAGAACTGAACCGGAAGACCCTAAACCATATACCAAAAATGGAAAGGTGTTCTGATATGGTCAGAGGGTATATAAGAAAAAGACTCTTGTACCATTTCTGTGTTTCATATCAGTGCTCTACAACATGTGATTGGGTTCGAACCCACGATTATCGTTGGTAGAACTGAGATGAGATTATCGTTGGTAGAACTGAGATGAGATCGGGAAACGGAGTTTCTAATCGACTTGCTTACCAGCCAAAATCCACCGGAAACGTGGGATGGAAGCATGGATTTCACGAGCTTCGGGTACTCATCTCCCAATTCATCCTGCAGCTTCTCAGCTTTCGCCAAGGCCTCTGCTCTGCTTTCGTCCGAAGCGTAAACCCGGTTTGACAGATCCCTCCTCTTGCTAATCCTAAGAATCATTCAGACAGTAACATAAAAAGTTCATTGCAAAAAATCTTCAGCTCTTCTGAATCTGCTGAGGTTTTAGGGAAATCTAATATGGGGAATTGTAGGGTTTCTAAAAATCGAAGCAAAAGGAAGATCTTTAAGTAACACACCTTCTGGGTATCTCCACTCGTTGAACAGTGACCTGCTACCAGTAAACGGAACCCAAATCAGTTTTCAGAAACTAAGAACATAGGAGATCAAACCCCAAATCCGAAAACATGAACCCATGATCAAGAGATGAAATTGACTTGCTTCTTTGTAAACAGGATAAGGATGATTCGAGAGACGGCTCGATCGACGAACTGCCACTAGCTTCTTTTCCTGTATCCGAGGCTTAGACTTCTTCATCTGCCACATGACCCACAGACATAGATGTAGAAGAAAACCTTTGATTTCGTACACATGAACGTAAATTGAAGAAAAATCGAAGAAGAAGTCGAAACCGGAGATGATTTAGGGGAAGTGGACTGGAGGGCAAGAGAGAGCCGAGGGAGATTGAGAGCCTCCATTCGTTTCTTGTTCTCTTCGAGCCTTTCCAGGCGGGATTTCTCGTACGAAGATGGTTTCTTGACGACCATTTTCCAGTTTTGACGGAAACCAAACAGAGAATTTTACCGGGGGTTCTTGGTTTCGGAGGGTCTTGTTTCTCTTTTCCGTGACAGTGATTTGGGTTTCCAAGAGATGAAATGGGGGATGCGGAAGGAAGAACCCTAAATCGACCGTTGGGTACCCACGAAATTTGAATTCCGAACATATCGACTGTGAGAGGTACATGGCCTAGGCCGGGGACCTGCTGAATTTTCAGATGGGCTTTTTGGAACTTCCATACAATTTGGAAAAAAAAACATTATTAGTTAAAAAAAACTGTTTTAAAATTTTTTAAAAGAAAATTACTGTTTCACCAACTTCCATTCAAAAACGTCGTCTTATACAAGATAATATAATTTAAATTGATGAAAAGTGTCGTGACGTGAAATATTCTCTAAATATAATAAAAAAAAAGGATTGTAAAAGGTCAGGGTGAAAAAACCCACCAACAAAAGAAAAACTTCGATAATTAAAAAGAAAAGAAAATGTGTAGAATCATGTCATCTCCTTCATCCCATCATCTGCAGCAACAGCAATATAGAGATCCATGTGACTAGAGAAAATCGCATAATAAATACACGAATTTGTAAAAACAAATTCTCTAATAAATACACAAACTACTGCTAGATAAATACAATAACTCTTTCTAATTCAGATTAAAATCTCTGAATTTTTAAACGATGGTAATTTTGAGGCAATGGTGTATTAATATGAGATTTTCCCACTATTATTATTTATTTTTTTTACCTTGAAGATGTCTCCGAACATTCCTTGCAGAGGATTCCTACGTTGAACTCCATAGAACCTCTCCCCAATCTCATCAAGCAACTTCACAATGGTATATATATACACACACTCGCATTTTATTAGCCAAAGCCCGGGAAAATCCGGAAAAAAAAAAAAAAACACTCGGGAACGGATGAATACCTCATTAAGCAGTGGTTCTCTATCGATGCTAGACTTGAATTTGGTCCTCAACATATTGAAAAGGGGCAATGCATCTCTCTGCAACCTGTGTACCCAAACAAGTTGTAAGACCAAAGAGAAAATAGATAACCGACCGATGTTTATTATGATGACAATGATGGTTAGAAGAACTACTAACGTCTGCAGAAGGTAGGAGATGAATTGGATAAGGTCTGATTCTGGTAGCTCATGATGCTGCCCTGACTCTGCTTGCTTCTTGATTTCGTCCATGACGAAATTCGCATCTCGCATGTTACCCTGAGCTAAGTACCTATACATTCGTCCCGTTATTTTGCCTCTTCAGACCCGTTAAAAGAGCGTATCGAGATGGAGAGGAAATGAGTTTCAGTTCGGTCAACTCACATGAGAACTGCTCGTGCAATGGCCAGGTCGTCTTCACCGGGATAGCACTGCAACAGCATGCAAGATTAAGATCGAGGAATTTGTCATGCAAAACTAGAGAGTAAACTAATAAGCACTTGTATGTAAGCCCGAAAAGGTTTATCATAAACATGGCATGATGAACACGACGGTATCTCCAGTTCAAGAGAATGATAATATGAATGATATGCACCAGAAATGGCCAACCTTTCCCATAAAATTGACCAGCGTAGAAGCGAACTTCGTGGGGTCCTCCCCTCTAACAAAGTGCCGTGATATTCGAACCATGTCCTGCCCCGAATATAGTAATACCATTCATGTCAAACAAACGGGAGATTTTACACAATAATCTATCATCAGCAGAAAAGGCCTACAAGTTCGGGAGACTCGGTATAGAGATAATCAGCCAGCATAACATGCAGCTCAGGAACTCCAGTACTTGGACCTCCAAACTCCGAGGACCACCTAAGACAAAGTGAAAAGAATATTACCGATAAGATTGTGCCTATGAATGATGAACCTCAAGAAGAGTAGCTGAACAAAACATATTATGTAAAGGGAATAAAAAAGTATGTTTATGAAATTTCATAACAAAACCAGGATAGTACATCAATAGATGCTTGCTTGAAGACGAGCAAAAAAAAACTATGACACCGTGACTAACTTTATAGCAGCTCGCAGGAATGAAGATACACTTTCCACGCGTGCCCTTGCTTCCCCGAGGGCTTCTTGAAGTTTCTGGACAGATTCATCGTCGCTTACATCTACCAAGTGAGGAGGCACATGAACCCGAGGAAACAATTTGTACATACACCTGATACGATCTAACGAGAAACATTTCATTATAACCACAGATAAGCACACACCAAACAAAACAAAACAAAATCAATACTAAGGAAATAATACAAAGCATGAACTAAACTAACCAAGGGTTTCATCGTTGCAAGGAGTTGTGGCCTTAACTAAGGTATCGACGAATAGAAGTGCAAGGTCTGCCCCACAATTCACCTGAAGATATGTTATTTTTCAAGAGAAAATCATTCAATTAACAAAAAGCAAAACTAAACAAGAGAATATTCCAGAAACGACATCATTTGCCAGGTTTCAAACTTTGTGATTACATATATTTCCAGCTTCAGGGACACAAGTTTGACAGCCTAATCGAGGTACAACAAGAAAAAAAGGAAAATGAACAAACCTGGCCATGCTCTAGTTGAAGGCATGCTCCTGAAAAGAGTATATCAAGAGCTTCAGAGAATCTCTGAGCAGAAACATATCTGCAGCAAAATGCAAATATATAATCAGAAACATATTCGCCATGATCATGTGTAAGAACCCAATATTAGAGTGACAAGAAAAAAGTAAGCTTTGCATGATCACAAAAGCAAGAATAACGAATCCCAACAGTGGAATTTCAACAAATATTGAAACATTTTATAAATGTAACAGTGATTAACAAATTTGGCTGATGAGGTATACCTTGCACTGATAGATTTGTACATCTGCAGTGCTCCATAGTAATTGCCTCCATCTACCACCTTCTGCAATTTCTCAATATGCTGGAAATGTATAACAAGAAACCCGATTCAACTATCCATGTGGCTTCTGATATTGAAAAATAAGTATTTTCTCATACATAACATTCAAAGGCAAAATAGTCACCCCTAGAATTTGGCCACCAGGTAATCAGATGACAACTCAGTATATGAAAAATTCTAACATTCAAATTTCAAGAGGCAAACAAATAGAGAACATCAAGTCAATTACTCAAAATTTCAAACGAAGTCGAAAGATCACAAAACATTTTCTACACCTCTGTTCAAGTTCATAGAATTCCACACGTTATCCTCGTCACTTTCGATTTCTTACGGTTATCAACTTATAACGATTCACGATCATAAACGGAGGAATAGAATATCATACCTCTTGAGCGGGAGGTAATTCTCTTTTGATTCTCTCTCTAGACATGAATTCAAGCTACTAAGAAATAGGGGGATGGCTCTTCTTCTTAAGTCACCTCCGGACGTCTTCCTTATTTCTTCGATGCAATCCTTAAGGTGCTATCTGATCCAGGAAGATGAGACCCATTGTTCTAATGTAACCATTTAAAGGGTCGAGCAAAATCAAAGAGGGGAACGGCATCCTGCAAACATAACCCCTACATTCGCATATCAAACCCGAAACCCTAACTATATCTTATTGCAGCAGATGCAACTTATATAAGACAAACAGATATCAAATTAAGAAAATAAAAATAAAAGATTCAATCGTTCATCGAGAATCTACTGCGCAGCAAAATCACAGGATAGAAGGACGCAAAGTTTATTTCTTTCACTCATTCCATTTCACAAATTACGAGCGTCTACCACCATAATCATACTCATAACGTATCAAATTCGGCCATTTTTCAAATCTGTTTCAATTTCAGAGAAAAATTCCATATCCAAATAACGATAGACAAACACAATCATCAACTACATATGAATCTATAACCGCATGACAATTCTGTCGAACATGCAACCAAATACAAGACAAAACCCGCATACGAAAAAACATAAATTACATGAGAAACGTAACAACTCAAACAGATCTAAGAACTACGAACCGCGATACGAATCTCAAATTGTACAGAAATCTTCTCTGGTTCTTGATTTCGATACTAGAAGAAGGACGAAATCGGGATCGGAATCGGGTACTCGGAGAACGAGCGAGAGCCAGGGAGAATCGCCACGATTACATTGATACGCACAACTGTATCAGACATTCATAAAATATAAAGGGACGTCGTGATGTCTGATTACTACAGACTTGCACAACCTGTCGTTTTATATTGTGTGCAACGTCGCGTCGTTTTCTTCCCATTTTCTCGAGCAAATCTGACTCACATTTTCAATAAGAGGCCTCAAGCCCAATAAATATTGATTAGCGGTGGCCGTTTGTGGTCATTCGGCCCGGCTGATCCTAAATCCAATCTATCTAAATCCATTTAACCCAAATAACATATAAGTAAATCAAAATTGATATACAAATATATAAGAAAATGGATATATATATATAGATATATATATATTTTAAATGTGAATTCGAATTGAACATTAATCGTATATAAAATAATGAAAAAAACAAATTTATTTATATAATAAAAAATCAATAATTCCATTAGACATAGTAATAGTAAAGTCTACTTACAATATATTTTAGATAACTTTTTTTGGTATAATATTTGAGATAACTTTAGTTTCAAGTTATCTAAATTTAATATTCTTCTTGTGTCCATACTCTATGAAATCCATATCCATCTCCCAAACCAATTAAGTGGACTGTCTCCATCCGAAGGAACATGTTATATCCACTTGGGTTTCCCTCAAATTTTGCAATTATTTTTTTTATTAATTTTGAATTTGTTTAATAGATTGCAACAGCAACGGTATTGCTTTTTAAACGATTTTTTTAATAAAAAGAATACAATTCAACTAGGTTATATATTATATTAGATTCGGTTTGGTTCGATTTTATCTCTCTAACCGAAATAAAACTACTATTTTGAATAACTTGGTTGAACGTATAAACGATGGTCTTTTAAAGCTTACGTAACACAAATTTTGGTTCTAAGTCCGAATTCTAGTTTCATACCAAAACAATAAAATATGTAGAAGAAAATCGTCTATCTTATTCTATAACACACACGGGTAAACTCCAAACGCCCTCAATTACAAATTTCACCGCATATTATATATATATATATATATATATATATATATATATATATGTGTATATATGTTTACGTATCGGGTAGACCTAACGGTATAATAAATTTTTTAAAAAAAAATTGGAATTGTGTGTGAAGTGGTTATAAAAAATGGACCAAACCTTAACTTAATCGAACTCAATTTAATAAAATAGGGTTGATGATGTGTGTGCGTCCCGTAAGAAGCCGAAAAGCCTTTTGCCCTCTCTGCCTTTTGGACCCTTTCTATGTCTATTTGCTTATCCTAATAAGATAATCAACTTATAGAAGACATGCGTATAACATAAAGTTTATTGTTTGCTGAATATATATATACATATATGTGGAATAAATAGAGCATACATTATTACAATAGAATATATATGTTTGACCTTAATTATTGAGATTTTATATACCTTACTTCATCTCTTTCACACGTGTAGTGTAGATTGTTGGTCCAAATATTTTGATAATTTTCTTACATCAATAATAATGTGTGGCCATCTGTGTGGGGACTAATACATTTTGAAGCAAACTAGGGATCAAGTGGAATGCCCAAAAACAATGTTTGAAAACAATCCATAAAATTTTAAAATTTGCAACAAATTATCAGAAGAATATATAAAACTAAAAAAAAGGCAGATAAATATATAACTTATATTATAATTATAAATAAATATACAAGTTCTTTAAATCTTTTTAATTCTCCTCTTAATGTATATGTGTTTGTATTGTATACGTATACGTATATACGATTGTGTAGGTGTGATTTATTTTTTATGCGATATTTTTATTTTACTTTGATGTAGTGTTTTTTTAGTGTTTTGGTAAACTATAGCATACCCATTTATTATGTATTATCTAAAACGTTACTCATTTCCTCTTATATATATATATATATATATATATATATAATCTAACTATCTTTTCGTCATTTTATTCCTCGATTTATCCTCCATCATTTTATATTGTATAATTATTTCACAATTATATTGCAGAAATCACCTTGCACACAATCATTCCATATGATCATTGTTCAACAATCATCTTGTCACATCATCGTGTCACAATCATCTTTATTTTGTATAGTTAGTTATAATTTTTTTGGGTTTACAAATGTCTATTTTTTAGTTTAATTATTTTGTTTATCGTATCAATTAAATTTATTTTCCTATGAAAAGTATTTAATTATAGTTATCTGTCTATAGATAAACATTTAGTCCTAATTTTTAGTAATTTTTTTTCTAGAAAAGTAAGAAAAATTGAATTTTCCTATGTTATTCGTCGTTAATAAAAGGTGATAATGTTCGTAGAGATAAATAAAAAAGATATTAAAAAAATGAGTGGAAGAAAAATAATAGAAAAAATATTAGATGAACAAAGAAATTTTTAAAGATAGTTTTGGTATGGAAAAAACGAATAGTGATTGTAATTTGTTTTTGTATAGTTAGTAAATTAATTATTTTATAATTTCCAAAATATTCAAATTTTAATTATGTTTAGAGAAAAAAATAAAAAAAATAAATAAAAAAACAGTGACGAACGTCCAACTTGAGTCTCCTATTGGACCGCATATTTGACCCACGAATCGACAGGGTCAATATAACGGCGTTAACTAACGGCATTCATCTGTCTTATCTGGCGAAATCCCTCTCCGCTTCTCTTCTTCTCTCTAGAAAATTGGGATCCTTTGACAGAAGCGGCTCGACTTCTTCTTTGCGGAGACCAAATCCTTCTTCACAGGTGAACGAAATCCGAATTCTAGAAATATATTTTTTCTCGATTTCGTTATTGGGTTCTGATTACTCGATTAGGGTTTTCATTTTGCCATTTGTTGTTGATGATTCCTTTGGGTCGAATCTGGATTCTATGCTTGGATTTGGCACGATTATGTTTCGTATTCTTTGATTGAATCATTTTCGGATCCGAGAAGCCGACGGAAATGAAATAATGGAAAAATCTGGTAATTGAACATCTGCGAATTTCGAAAAGAGAGACCTTTTCGTTTGTATTGGCTTCATAATGCTGTTAGATTTGTGCATATGATTGGTGATTTTGTTTGCACAGATCCTTGAATCCATTCAAATTTGAAAGCCCTTCATTTTTCATTGGTTTCGCCAAAACCAGGATGGGGTTGTGTTTGTTTCATGGGTTTTTGAAGGATTTGGATATGTTGTATAGTGAAATTTAGATTGTTCTTGATGTTGTTCTGTGGTCTCATTGATTTTTCTGCTGGGATTTCTTTTTCTCAAATGTGTTTTGAGGATTTGGGTATGCTGTACATTGAAGTCTAGACTGTCCTTGATTGAGTTATGTCCTGTCTTTGAATTTTCAGCTGGGATTTCTGATTTCACTGTGCAGTGACACCAGTACTAGGACAAAAACGTGGAGTTGCTTGTGAAAATCTACATAAATATCTGATGGGGGATTTGTCAGATCTTGTAACATGAAGATATCCATGAGTTGTATCTATGGGTTTGTGGATTGATATTCTAATCTCTGGCACTTTTGGGGTTTGATTCGGTTTGCGAAGATGATGCTGTGTTGCTTTTAGCCCTGTGGGTTAAATCGCAGGAACAAGGAGTGAAATAAGAAGATTAGAAGAAATATGGGGGAGACACTCCTTACGACCCTTTCTATGGAGAATTATCACCCATCTACACTTCTGTCCATGGATTCGGGCTCTTTTACTCATGAAGAAACTGAGAGGGAGACGAACCGGTCAGTCATACTTTCAGGAGCACCCGATATCAATCTCCCGCTCTCATCGGAAGCGAGCCCTCCTCCTCTCTCATGGAACGACCACTGTGACATCTTAGACGTCGGTCTTGGACCTCAGATTTATGAGTCTGAGGCAGTTGTTCACGTACCTAAGATTGCTAAGAAGTACAGTAAGCGGGTGGATAGCATGTGGGGTGCTTGGTTTTTCTTCAGTTTCTACTTCAAACCCGTTTTGAATGAGAAGTCCAAGAGTAAGATAACAAGGGACAGCAATGGCTTGTCGGGGTACGATAAAACCGACTTGCAGCTCGATGCATTCATGGTTCAGCACGATATGGAGAATATGTACATGTGGGTCTTCAAGGAAAAACCCGAGAACGCCCTTGGTAAGATGCAACTACGCAGTTACATGAATGGGCATTCCCGTCAAGGGGAACGTCCTTTCCCTTTCAGTGTGGACAAAGGCTTTGTCCGGTCTCATAGGATGCAGAGGAAACATTATCGTGGCCTCTCTAACCCTCAGTGTCTGCACGGGATCGAAGTTGTTCGGTCACCCAACCTCTCGATGCTTGACGAAGACGAAAAGAAGAGGTGGGTGGATCTTACGGGCCGGGATGCAAACTTTTCTGTCCCACCCGAAGCAAGTGATTATGGTTCATGGAGGAATCTCCCGCATACAGAATTCGAGCTTGAGCGACCGCTTCCTCTGCTCAAAGCCAACGGGCACACCCAAGTGAAAAAGCTTAATGGTACTTGTCTGAATCTGTCAACTCATTCACCGGACCATGCCACTGATGCAATGGATATATACCCCACTTGTGGCAACAAACGCAAGAAAGACTGCCTCGCTCTCGCAAACGGGGATGAATCCTGTTCAACCGACAAATCCCTCGACATGAAATTCCATGCCCCTGAGTTGCCATGGTCAAGCGAGTTCACCGGGGTGATGAAGAACATAAATGGGCCAGTCACGGCGGCGAAAACGGTATATGAAGACGCAAACGGGTTCTTGATCATCATAAGCCTGCCTCTGGTCGATCTAGGGAAGGTGAAAGTGACATGGAGGAACACTCCGGGCCACGGGATAGTGAAGATATCGTGCGTGAGCACGACGTGTATGCCGTTCATCAAACGGCATGACCGGACGTTCAAGCTGTCAGACCCAGCACCCGAGCACTGCCCGCCGGGAGAATTCGTTCGGGAAATCTCGCTGCCGAACCGGATTCCAGACGATGCGAAGCTCGAGGCGTACCGAGACGAAACAGGGACGATGTTGGAGATCATGGTGCCGAAACATAGGACGGGTCCTGAAGAACACGAAGTCCGTGTCTGTCTCCGACCGTTTGAGCTGGAGTGATGGATTTTAAAGCAGAGAGTCTCCAGCTGTTTGTTTTTGTTATTATTATTATTATTATTATTATTATTATTACTGGGTAATTTGATTTGTATGACAACTTTTGTATTGCAAAGTTCTTATTGATTTTCGGATATTAACATATACGATTGATTCTTCTCATTAAATTTTTAAATGGAAATAAATATAATTTAGTGCATAAGAAATTTTGTTTGGAATCCATTAATTTTTATCCTTTCCATTTTTTAGGACAGAACCAAATCACAGGTTTCGAAGCATTTTCGACGTGTAACCGAGAACAGTTGAAATATTTATTTAAAAATAATAAGATTAGATAACCATTGAAATATTTATAATCTGAAAATATCAATAAAAAATTAAAAACCAATATATTTTTAGGTGAAAGTTTTAAAAAGTTGATGTATTTTTAGGAAAGAAACAAAACCCATGTACTCATTTAAGAATTTTTGACAAGTCAATGTACTTTAATAAAATTTTCTAGCATATATTAAAAGGAGTACTAAAATATTCGAATCCAGCAGCAAAATCACCATTCATCATGAAGTCGGGGAACCTCTTAACAGAGACTTTCATCTGGACTGAGAGTTTCTCTCCTGATTATACTAACAACGTCTTACATCTAGAAAATGAGCATACACCAAGATGGCTGCATCATCAGCCTTTTAGCTACCTTCATATTTCGGATCAGCGGTCACATAGTGATAAGCGATGACTAACGCGAATATGAAGATGCCGAGAAAATTGGCCAGGAATCCGAGGTCTTGATCGTCGATCATCTGCCAAGAACAACCAAAACGAAAGGAAAGGGTTGGAGTCATTATCCCAATTCCGAAACTAACAACCCACAAATCGAAATCAAAATGCAAGCACATATTTTCCCGGATCATTTTGTTTTACGAACCCGAAACTTAATGGAGAGAAATGTATGAAGAAAACAGCATTAAAGCAAAATCATAACTATGTAGCCCAAAATGATCGATAAGATTCCAAAAAGAAATGTTTTTGTTATGACACCACTGACAACAACCACCAAAAGAGAAGAACCAAAACCAAAACCATAACTTGATCGGTACCCAATTGCAATCGCAGGTTTTGGTTGCAATTTCGACACACCTATCAATATCATACACTGATTTGCGACCACGAAAAAGAACCAAAAATCGATACTGGAACAGGAAAAGAACTTCCATACCGGGAGGCGGGATCTTCAAGAACATGATAGAAAGTCGGTGTGCAATCCATCTTCCCAACTAATCAAAAGCTTCATTTTGTCTTTGACTAAACCAATACTCAAATCTAGATACCATATATTATAACCCTGAGTTCAAAGTCCCTAATCAAACCATTCAACAGAAAAAAAAAAAGACAATGACCAGAAAAAGTGCCGGTGATCACTATAGTTTTACATTCATTAATTCAAAACAAGAACGATGAAGGATCAGGAATCAACAAAATCTGCAGAATCAACATAATCCTCCCAATCATCATCAAGTTTGGTTTTCTTTTGACTAAGCTAATCATCATGTCTAGATACAACATGACTCGGGATTCTAACTCTGCAATCAAACAATTCATAAAACAAAAGGACCATGATCAGCAAAATTTGCAGAATCAATCCAAACTCAAGGGAAAAAGAGCGATCCCAGTGGGATTCGAACCCACGACCTTTAGATTCGGAGTCTAACGCGATATCCACTCCGCTATGGGATCGCATTCGACGGAAATAGAGACTCGAAACCACATAAACCCTACACGTGACGCAACCGACAAGCCGATTTGGCAGTTCTCGTCGACAGAGACAGATCTACAGAACCGGCGCACACAATGTCGCCCAAAAATCACAATCTCTTTCTCTTCCCAGGAAACAAACACGGAGAAAGAAAAATAACATAGAAATGGCGAAAAACACAGGGATCATCAGGCCGATCTGTTCGAGAATCAAACACCATCGCGGCCGTAAAACGGAGATACGCATTTAAAGACGTACCTTCTCGCTGATCGGAATCTGCGAAATTCCACCGCAAAAAACACGATCGGATCTCGGCGAAGCGATCAGCAAAGTACCTGGATCCGGGATCGGGATCGGGATCGGGATCTGGATCTTCCTCGGAGCAGTCACGAGAGGGATTCCTTTTTTCTTCCTTCTCGCTAATTGGATCTGAGTCAATACAAAACCTCTTCCAAAAAAGAAAGTATTTACAAGAAGCTGGCCCACTACTTATGCCATGTAATCTGGCCCAAGTATTTTTTCTCTTGGGCCTTGGGCCTTACCCACTGCGTTTTTTTATTTCTAAATTTCGTTTTGATTTGGAAAAAATAGAATAAAATCGAATCAATTTCGAAAATGTATTGTAAAATCCAGAGATTGAGGGCAAAAATGGTAAATAATGATGCTAAATGCGAAACATTTCAATACTACGAGAACTTAAATGACAATATATATATATATATATTTTATTTTTTTTTCATGTTCTCTCTTTTTTTTTTTAAAAAAAATTCAGATTAGATGCCACGCGCACTTGAACAGCGCTTAAACCTCTCACTTAACTAAAAAAAGCGTCGAAATTAAGAGCCTGACAGCTCATCTCTCTCTTTCTCTTTGGATCGATGTGAAGCACGACGTCGAGGCCGACGACAAATCCAAAAGTCCACTTCTACATCTGGAATCCACAGCAACTGTGGCACTTTCCGGTTAATTTCCGATTACCGGCTGTTTTAGGTCGTCGCCGCCGACGGTTACTGCGACGAACTGCTTCGCCGGTGAGATTTGGAACCATGTCTTCGACCTTTAGCCCTGGTCGCAGCCCCGGGAGCTCTCGGCTGCAGCAGCTAGGCGTCGTGGGCTCGGCGTCACGGCTGAGATCTTCCTCGCTCAAGAAGCCTCCGGAGCCTCTCCGCCGTGCGGTGGCAGACTGTCTCTCTTCGTCGGCTCAGGCCGCCAGCTCCCACCATGGCGCGATCCCGTCCTTGGCGCCTTCAGAAGCTCTGAGGAATCTTCGGGTGTGTAGTCTCTTTTCCCATTTTGGTTGAAATTGCGGTTTTGTCTCTTGTTTGGGTCTTGAATTTTTGTTTTCTGGATTTTGAATTTTGTGTTGTGTTGTGGTTTTGATCCGAATCGAATTGATCAAATTTAGGTTTGCCCTGTTCTATGTGTGGGGAAAGGTAGAAAATTTTCGCTATATGGCTTGGTTTTGTTCTATGGTTAGTATTCGGCCAAAAGGAATCTCGCTACAAAAGGCTAAGTCACTGTTCGATTTTCATTATTGTTCTTTGGAACTAAATTGGGTTTGTGCTCAGTAATTGATCGTTTAGTACTCGAGATGGTCCAATGGTCGATGTTGTTTTCCTCAAGATTTTGTTTCATATAATATACATTACTTCAGTACCCAGTAATCATGGTATTTGGTACCAAATGTGGGTGCCAATTCATGGTTATCTGTGATTTGAAATCGGATTGTGACCGAATAGCTGAACAAAACTGGTAATGGCTTTAATTTGAAGATTGGGAAAGTCTGGTCGTGGTTCGGTTGTGGTGGGTTGAACCATTCTAGCTGCTTGAGAATTTCGGGTTTTTTCCACATTTAAGGAGATTATGCGACCTTACAGCTTAACGTTGTAATTACAGGACTATCTATCGGCCCTCTCCACGACTGACTTGGCTTACAACGTATTATTAGAACATACTATAGCAGAGAGAGACCACAGGTAATTGATTGGTGTGCACATGTCTGCCAGCATTCAATGCAAAGCTTGAGTCTTTCAATAGAATCGGACACGTTCATGTAGGAAGTACATCATTTTTGGATGGGTGACGTGCTTTTGATTCTTTCACAGAGCTGTTATGTTAGGTGATATGATAGTGATACTATGTAATCTTATTTAAGCTCGAGAATTCAATGGAACAAAAATTTATTTGAATGGGGAAGCCTTGAATGGATAGAAATATTTGGCTATAAGAACCTGATGTCGAAGAACTTCACGACTGTGAGCACGAAAGATATCCAAGAATCAAGATTGAAAGTGGGAGATGTTCATGAAAAAGAGGATAATGTTAATGTATATACAATCACGAATGGAATGTGTTGTATCTTTAAGCCCAAAATATGAGAAAGCTTTATTGAATCCATCGGCTCTGTACGCTACAAGATAACCTGTATGTAATGTGTTTTGTCGTCGACAATTGTCAGGATAAGTTACTGAGTGAATGCATCATCTACCTCGACTGGCCACCAAATGAATTAAGGATTTCTTGCTGCCTGGAGATCTAGTTTATTAGGAACTCGTAGAGCTGAGAGATACAATCTATAATCTAAGATAAAAAAAACTTTCCGGGTATCACATTGTTTCAAGTATTATTTATTTCTAATTTTTCACCTGATTTTCTGCAGTCCAGCTGTGGTTACGAGATGTGTGGTGCTTCTGAAAAGATATCTATTAAGGCAAGATTTTCCTGCATAGAGTCTAAAGTTTTGGTTTGCTGTGCTTCTTTGAGCTAGCATCGTTTTTCCTTTTATTATAGTTCCGAAGATATTCCTGTTATTATAACAACACTATATGTTCTGTGAATGAGATTTCTAGGCTTTACTAATAATTTCTTAGATCACATGGATGTGGAGAAAGCAGATTTGTCGTGTAAAACTAGAATTTAGCATGCGACTTTCTTTTAGCTATTAAGGTCATTTCTTAGATCACTTGGTTACTAGACTGTCTTTTATGGGTTCTATAATTTCAATGATTGAATGGGTCAGTGTGTTTCTCATGCTACAGATATAAGCCCAGTGAGGAGACCCTACTGCAGATCGATAGGTTTTGTGTGAACCTCATTGCTGAATGTAATACTAGCCTGAAACAAAAGTCAATGCCTGTTTTATCAGCACCAACAGGTGCTTCTCCTTTGCCGGTTTCAAGTTTTGCGTCTCCCGCTCTGGTAAAGTCGTTAAACTATGTGCGTTCCCTTGTGGCCTTACATATTCCAAGACGGTCCTTCCAACCAGCTGCATTTGCGGGTGCCACTCCTGCATCAAGACAACTATTGCCATCATTATCCTCCTTGTTGAGCAGATCCTTTAACTCCCAATTAAGTCCTGCAAATGCCATAGAATCTCCACAGAAAAAGGATGCTTCAAATCTATCTATTTCAAACTTGTCAGATATACGAGAGGTTGATGTTGTAGAAGAAACTGAATACATTTCATCAGACATGCTGAAGTGGCGCTGGGTTGGGGAGCACCAATTATCTTCGGTTTCCAGTGAAAGGTACCTAACTTTTTCTCTTGCATACACATGCAAATGGGGAATTGTTTTTTTAATGTTTTTTCCCTGTAGTTGTATGTTGCTATATGTTAATAAACAGACACAGAGATAGTTTCAACAGTTCAGCTCCCTCCTCCGTTAAATCGTTGTTTCAATTCGTGATTGTCTAACATTTTTGCTTTGCGTTGTTAGCGATCGGACTGTGAATCTCCAGGACATGAACAACCGAAATCTTCTTGAAGTTGGTGCCGCCGGTCTGCTTGTAGGAGATATGGAAACTAAGATGAAGGGTCAGCCTTGGAAATATTTCGGTACCAGTGAGATGCCTTACTTAGACCAACTATTGCAGCCATCTTCAGTCACAATGATAACAAACTCAGCTTCAGCTCGCTCTCACTTGAGAGCAATAACAGCTTCCAAACGCACTAAAACTGGGCCTCATCAGATTTGGTTGGTACTCTTATCATGTTTTTATCTGAAACATATTGCAAATCAGTTAATTGGGATTATAGTTCCTTTTTCTGCAATGCAAACTTTTCATGTAGCTCTTTTCTAGTATGTTTGCTAGGAGACTGCAAGAGGAAAAGATTTCAAAAAGTCACTGTATCGCTTTCTTTGGGAATTGGGAGCTTATGCCGTCATTTTGGTTGGCTAGGAATATATAAAGGCATTTGTCAATTGTGATAACGCTGTAGAAGTTAAAAATTGTTCATTGTTTCTTCTTTTTAGTTATAATCATTGTTTTATAAAGCTCACACCAATGGAGTTTTCATGATTTGCAGGGATGATTCCACCGTGAGCACATTTCGCCCACGTGCCAGGCCACTTTTTCAGTATCGTCATTACAGGTAAAAATCAAATGACTATGTGGTCATTGGCCATCTTGCTATAATCACTCCTGACCTGTTCATTGAACGCTTTAAGTTTATTTCCTAGTTGCATTAATGATCACAAAAATTTTGTTTAGTGGCATAAATATCAACTGGAGCACTTTAGTTCACGCTTGCAATCCTGAAAGTCCATCTGCTTTTTGGATTGAATTATGAAGTGGTTTCTCACAGCGCTTTTAATATTGTCTATGTGTGTTCTACATCACTCAAGTGCAGAAATAACAGCCTTTTTATTGTGATTGCAAAGAAAATGTGCGGAAGTATCCTTGTGGTGCAAACTTATAGCTCTTGCTTAATCATAAAAAAGATAACTCTTGATAACAGAATTTCTCTTGATTGTGCAGTGAGCAACAACCACTGCGTTTGAATTCCGCAGAGGTAGGTGAGGTGATAGCTGCTGTTTGTTCTGAGGCATCGTCCACTACTTCGAATCAAATGACTTTATCACCCCAATTAACCAGGAAGAATGCAAAGCCCTCGATGGATGTGGCTGTGAGCGTGCTTATCAAGCTTGTTATTGACATGTATGTTCTGTCATATTCTACTGTATTTTCCTGCATCGAACATGTCAATCTGCTATCTACATTTATGAAAATGTTGCACTTATGTTTGTAGTTACTTGATCGAATATTTTATCATTTTATTTAGATTCTGTTTGATTGTCCCTTTCCTCTCTTCTATTACTGTTAATGACCTAACGGGGCAAATTGTTATGTGACACATAACTTTTGTAGGTATGTCTTGGATCCTGGAATTGCTGCTCCTCTTACTCTGTCCATGCTTGAGGTTTGGCCTTTTGACGCACAAATGTGATAGGATGATATTTAAACTACTTCCTTATTTTTTCTCTTTCCTGCTTGAAAATCTTGTCTCAGGAAATGCTCTGCTCTCCAAAAGGCGCTTGTAGGATTCGTGTTTTCGATTTGGTTCTAAATCTCGGGGTTCATGCACAATTGCTAGAGCCAATGACAAATGATGATGCCACCACAATTGAAGAAGAATACATCCAAGAATCTTATATTGACAATGAAAATAAACTTATGATGCAAGGGACAATAACGAAAGACTTGTCTAAAATGTCAAGCACTTCTTCAGCTATTGAGAACTTTGAGTCTTGGATATTGGGCATTTTGTTTGAAATACTGCTTCTTCTGGTTCAGGTTTGTTACCATCTTCCTGCTGCTTCCTTTAATGTAGAAAGATGGTCTGTTTGGGGTCTTATGCCTTTGATGTGGTTAACTTAGGTTGAGGAAAAGGAAGAATGTGTCTGGGCATCTGCTCTCAGTTGCTTGCTCTATTTTATCTGCGACAGGGGCAAAATACGGAGAAACAGGCTGAAAGGTCTTGATATAAGGGTATGTTTCTTTTTTATGGTCGAGCCTTATTTGTGCTATTTGATTATATTTTTTTTTCACTCCTATTCCAACATTGGGTGGCTATATGTGTTAGAAAAAAAATGATTTTTTTTAGACATTTGTAAATACAAGGTCATTCTAAATTATATTATCTGATGTGCTGGTCAATGTACCTGAAATCAGGTTATCAAAGCTCTTCTGGAAACTAGCAGAAGAAATTCTTGGGCTGAAGTCGTTCATTCCAAGCTTCTTTGCATCTTGACAAACATGTTGTATCGCGTTCCAGAACCAGATGGCCCTACTGCAGCTGCATCAAGTACCTCAAGTTTTCTTATAGATCAAGTCAATCTGATTGGTGGCATGGAGTTCATTTTCCTTGAGGTACTACAAAAATGCATTCTGCAAGACAATGAGATTTCTTCCTCAAAATCCATCCAGATAGTGATTTGAGTCAGAGAAATTTTGTGGAGTGATATAAGAGAGTTATCTTTGGATGCAGTACTCACTGGCAACCACTAGAGAGGAAAGAAGAAACCTCTACTCAGTTCTATTTGACTATGTCCTGCATCAAATAAATGAGGCGTGCTTAGCTGCTGGTTTCTCTGAGTATACTGATGATGAGATTCAACCTTTGGCTGTCCGGCTTGCTCTTGCTGATGCGCCCGAAGCTTTTTACATTTCTGTTAAACTTGGAGTTGAAGGCATAGGGGAGATCCTGCGAAGATCAATCTCTGCAGCATTGTCCGGTTTTAGCAACAGTGAACGTCTGAACTCGGTAAGCTTGGTTCCTTAAACTAGATTGGAAATCTTTCTTCTGAGGATCTATAGTGAATGATGAATGTTATTTGTTTGCTCTCATTGTGGACCAGTTACGTTGGCTTGAGTTTTGCATTATTTGTTAGGACCTAAGCTGTTGTTTCTAACTCCTATTTTTGCCCTTGCAGCTTTTGAGAAATATAACAGAGAAGTTTGATACAATAATAGGTTCATTTACTCATCTGGACAAAGAATTCCTGCATCTCAAACAGATAGCAAAGTCATACAAGCTAGTGGAAAGCATGCAATTCTTAAGGAATGATAAAGGCAATTCAGTGAAGCTAGCTTGGGCTACTATACATTCTCTTCTTCATTCAGAAAGGACGACTTATCGCCAAAATGGGTATATCTGGTTGGGAGATCTCCTAATTGCAGAAATTAGTGAGGAAAAAGATCGAAGCATATGGCTGAGCATAAAAGATCTGCAGCAAAAGATAGCCAACTGTAGTGTCTCTGATTCATTGGTTGCTTCTGATGTACCTATTTCGATACATCTTCTATGTGGGCTCTTGAAGTCGAAGAATAGTGTCATCAGGTGGGGTTTCCTGTTTATTCTGGAGAGGCTTCTTATCCGGTGCAAGTTCTTACTAGATGAGAATGAGATACAACAGTCAGCCAGTGGAGATACTAGTCATGATCATGAAGACAAACGACTAGAAAAAGCAAACGCAGTTATAGACACTATGAGCAGTGCTTTATCTTTGATGGCTCAGATAAACGAAACAGATCGGATAAATATCTTAAAGGTAAATCTACTCAGCATCCTTGCAAATGTTTTCTGTTTCATTTGCTTTTCAGACATCCTTGCAAAATGATCCATTGCTGTTCTCATGGTTACTGTCACGCATAACAATTCCAACCAGTTTTTCCATTTTCTTTAGGCATAATGAAAATGATGAATCGTATTGCTTTGAGTTTATTATCTAAGTGAAATATTTTGTTTTCTGTAAATATAGCTCAACTGGTTTAACATATGTGATTGTTGTGCTTTTCTTTCAATAAAACTGTTACCTAGTCGATGCTTAACAATCCTTCTGTGTCTTCTTTCTGGTGTTGCCAAGCAGATGTGTGACATCCTTTTCTCGCAATTGTGCTTGAAAGTCCCGTCTTCTGATGAGGACAAAATCCCCAACCCTGCTGACAAAAACGGCAAATTCGATACTTCGCAACGAAACAGCTGTAAAGATGGTACGGATGAAACTGAAGCCCGGCCTCATTATGTTGCTGTTCCAACTTGTGAGACGGCATCAATGGCAGCAATGCTTCTTCGGGGACAGGCCATTGTTCCAATGCAGTTAGTTGCACGTGTTCCAGCGGCTCTGTTTTATTGGCCTTTGATTCAACTCGCAGGCGCAGCAACTGACAACATCTCACTTGGTGTTGCTGTCGGAAGCAAAGGAAGAGGAAATATTCCTGGCGCAACCTCTGACATAAGAGCCACCCTGCTATTGCTTCTGATCGGGAAATGCTCTGCAGATCCGACCGCTTTTCAAGAAGTGGGCGGAGAGGAATTTTTTAGGTTATTCATCTTCTTATTTCCGGAAAACGTCTGGCTTATTTGTGCAAGTCACTTCAAAACATTTACAAGCTTATGTTTCCATATGCAGGGAACTTCTGGATGATACTGACTCAAGAGTAGCTTATTACTCATCAGCGTTTCTTCTGAAGGTAAAGAATATTTTCTCAAATTATTTCTCTACTAACCTTCTTCGTGTTGAGACTTGTATATATAATAAGAAAAACTAGTTTCCGTATATTATTGTTTTTTCGTTTTTTTGGCTACCTATTGAAGTTTGGGTTTTGAGCAGAGAATGATGACGGAGGCACCTGAGACGTACCAAAACATGCTTCAGAAGCTTGTGTATAGGGCTCAGCAGGTATAGCTATAGTTCTCTGTTTTCTTAATTATAGAACTGCAGTGTCTATGGGTTTTTCTTTGTGTAGATCTTGAATTAAAAGGTGTCACAGATTTATCAAGAAAGGAAATAAAAAGTAAACAAAAAGGGAAATAAAAGATATAATGACTTAAATCAAAGCTGATAATCTGTGACATAATGAATTAAAGCGAAGGTATAATGACTTTTTATTTGCAATCAATACATGCCTATTAGGAATACTTGTTTTCTGATTTCAAACATTTAGTTTGACAACTTGATAATTTTTGAAGGTTCCATGAGTAACTGTTCTACTTTCCAACACATTATGAAATCCTTTGAGATGTAAAACTGTGTTGTCGTGAAAACTGCTAGGCCCGGACTATTATGTTGCATTTGTTACACAGACGATTCCCGGTCAAACAAAAAAATGCCTTTCTTTTTTACATTTTCTGCTATGTTTCAGTTATATGTCTGTGATTGCATCTGTTTATAGAAGCTTCTCTGCTTTCCGTCGTTACTGTTTCTAAGTAGTTCTGGATCATCAATTGTAAAAAAAACGATTAGAACTAACTTTTTTTTCGGCTGCTTCTCTTGCAGAGCAATAATGAGAAACTACTGGAGAACCCTTACCTTCAGATGTGTGGTATACTCCAATTATCAAATGAGCTTTGAACTCGGGCGGCTGTAATTACTTTCGTTTGTGTATTCACCAGAGGCAATCACAATCTCCAAATTTTGATGTATGGCTTCCGAACCTCGGTTTCAGAGAAAACTGTCGAGCTAACTCAAGATTATAGTTTTCTTTGCCCTTTTCCGTCCGACCATCCTTCCCTCATTCCACGTAAAAATAAAAATAGCGAAGGGAAAGACGGATTCATAGATGCTGAACCCTCCATGGAAAATTCTCCAATGCATCATTAAACTCAGATATGGGTTCGAATATAACACGGAATTCGGTGAGTTTTCTGATATCACTTGGCCGCGTTCCCGACTGTTTTTTTTAGTGCTTACGGGTGATTTTTGGTATCGTCTGAAGGTTCTGAAGATAGCATAAGAGAGGAAAAAAACGAAAAGGGTTCGACTCGACTAACGAGTGAACGAGGTTTGAAGCTAAAAGGTGTGGTGTGTCGGCGAAACTTTCCTTCTTTGATGTGTGAAATATAGCAGTTATGGACACAAGGCTGCAGCTCCAGAAATATTCTAGGTAACAATGTTTAAAGACTCTTCTTTTTTCTAGAGTCTAAGAACAAATTTTGTTCTTCTTCTTGAAGTGACCAGTTCCTGTAGAAATGATAAGGGTTTCTTCTTCTTCTGTAGTTGCTGTATCTTCTTGTTCTTTCTTTTGCATTTTTCATGAACCTAAGTACTCAGCTGTCATCGTTAATAGGTCTGTCGGTTGAGTTCCGAGCCTGAAACTGGCATTGTGTTACTGTTTTGTGTACTGATCCAATTGTGAAGGACAATGCTTTTCTCCATTTATTTTGTCATTTGCAGCCTTTTTTTTTCTGGTTCTTTGTTATAAACTTTCTTTAACTCCATATTCTAACATGTCCAAGTCAACAGCTTTGTCTTGTTGAAAAGGGAACATGATGTTTTGTGTAACTATGTGTCCGAAGCTTTAAGACCCATGAATGAAAATGGATTGTATCTCTTCTTGATCATTCGAGCATAATGTGTTGTTAGATGTCTGGTTTTTTTGTTTGTCCATTCCTTTTTTTTTTTTGGCTCTGTAGAGTAAATGAGAGGTGTTAAATTATGTAGGAAATTTGCAAAAAAAAAAGCTTAAATCCAATCTTATTTTTCGATTACAAATTCATGTTTTCGGACTTGATAAGCTCTGATGAGTCTCTGTAACTTCCAAACCTATCAAAAATCGACGTTTATAACCAAGATTGAATGGTTTAACCGGTAAAGAAGTAAAGAAATCTCTTTTCTAATTCGGATTCGAGTTTTCATTTGGGGAGACGTATTTATATGGTCTTTCCGTTATTGTAGGAGATATAGTCGGGAAAAGTTCTAATGTGGATTATTAAAAAAAAAGAGTTGACGTTGATGAGGAATTTAGCCCTTTAACTCCGGGAGAGGTTTTCTCTTAGTCGAATTTAAAGACGAGTCGAGCCAATTCCACGAGATCTGACATTTTATAAGAAACGTGGAAAAACAAAACCAAACAAATATAAAATAAAATAAATACACGACAAATATAAGAAAAGAGGGCAAATCACAGTGAACTAGAGACTAGCGGCAGCTAAAAACCCTACAAAACCCTATTCACGTTTTTTTTCTTCCGGGTTTTCTTTTTCCCCGGACAGGACCCGTGTTACTGTTCCTCAGATTTGTGGATCCAGGGTTCGTTTCGTCCAAGTCCCGGAGAAATTCGTCCTTTTATCTGACATGAATAATCTGAAGCTTTTCTCCGAGGTTGCTCAGAATATCCGGTTGCAATCGAGCGAAGAGGTTCTACAGTTCGCAGCTTACGACATCGACCAGAGTCGCTTGTTCTTCGCTTCTTCTACGAATTGCATTTACGCTCTTCACCTCTCTTCTCTCCAAGTAAGCAAACCCTTTTCCTCGCACTCTCTTTTGATTGGTTAAAGTTCGTTTACTCCTAATTTTCTGGGTTTAGTTTGGAGAAGATTATCGTGTTGATTTGAGTATGGGGTTCTGTTTCTTTGTTTCCTTGATTCGAGAGCCGGGCTGGATTTGTAACTTTCTCTTGAATTAATCTCCTTTCACGAATTATGCTAATGGAGCTTGCAAGTAATCTGGGTATATAGAGACAGCTATTGATGACGAAAATCCTTTATTCGTATAAAGTAGAAAACTTTCAAAAGAATATAGTTGCTTTCGAGTTAAAATCTCTGCTTCCC